TGGATTCACAATTATTAGCGTACGTGTGAACTTTCCTGCTTTCTATTCTGCTTCTTCCATCATTGCCTTATTATTCTCTTTTCTCACACTTCTTTAATTGCCCACGATTAATACACGACCGTCCAACATTGTTTACAAGTGTTCCAGTGGATGTTGTTGATGATGTTACACTGTTGCTTTGGCCAAGTTGCTTCAACTAAATCAAGACAAAAGGAGTAGATTAATATGGCATCAAGAAGCTTTTTTTAGGTCAATTTTCTTTACGCACTTTTTCATGGGACTTTGCAACCACAAGCTTAGACCTGTTGGATTGGAGCCAACCCTTTTCACATGCTATCGTTGTGTTCATAGTGTAGGTTCAAACACTTCTATTAAAAAAATTTAATTTTTCTAAGGATAAATTATGTAATGATTTTTATTAAGATTTCAGGAAAATATGTAGAATAGTCTAATAAGTATTTAAATCATATTACATGATATGAGACAGAAACTTCCAACATATCTCTTCAACCAAGGGGTTCCCTCTAACGAAGGGACCTCAAACCAAAGGATTGGACTAGTCAAAAGATATTTTAATAACAACTTTTAACTTAAAACAATAATAAAAGATATTTTTGACCCATAAAAAAAATTGTAACTTTTGATTCAAAATAATAACCGAAAAAAAAATTAAGTTTTGACTTTAATATATGTTAAGATTTCAATATAAACCAATTGACTATACCTGAAATAACTTAACAAATATTAAATCATATCACATGACATTAGACAAATAATATTCTAAATTTTGTTTACCTTCTAAATAATATTTTTAGTATATTTTTCCTTTCACTTTTTACACCAACTAATAATGTTAAACATCCTGATAGTCATATTAATACTATAATCACTTATGTATTATGTTATAAGAAGGTTTCACACATTAGGCACGTATGATTTTAATTTAATAAACTGTTTTTAGTTATTTTTTTCTTGATTATAGTTTGTTTCATTAAAAAAAAAAAACTTGAACACGTGAGAAATTAAAAACACAATTTAAAAAAAAGTTACACTTTATTAGAATCTTTAATCTCTTACAACTCAATGTTAATTCTACTTTAAGAAAAATTTATACGAAAGAAAATAATATGGAGAAAATGCTATTATAGAAGATTGAAATAATTTCGATAACTTCAAAAGAAAAGAAGACAATATCGAGTAATATATATCTTTTATTTACTTTTTTATGTTTTTAAAACAAAAAAATGACCCGTTGAAAGATCATACAAACTTAAAAATATAATCCATTTTTAAATTCGGATAGCTTCATCCTTTTTTTTAAATGAATAGTATGTCATGCCGAGCCATTTTAAAGTCTTACAAGGAGTCCAATTCAACATTTATAAAGATGAAAAATAAAAACAGAATTGTATAATTGAATTGAAAGAAAAATACATACTCAAAGGAGATAGAAAGAACCTTTTTATATATACTAAAGAAAAGCTAAATTAAAAAAAAAATCATAATTGGGGCTTAGTTCCGATTAAGAATTGAAAGTGTCACAACCTCATACTATGATAACATCATTAGAGTCAATTCTCACGTTTGAAATATTATCTACTTTAAAATTATTGTCCGTCACGATTTTATTTTTAAAAGACGTATCGATGAATTAAGAGAGGAGAATATATACAAATTACCCTTGGTCTCAACTCCTAAACGATATAAAACTTCATCATAAATGTACCGGAACAATATTTAATAAAAGATAAAAGTGTAAGAAGATGTAAAGCTAAAATCATTTGTATTATTAAATGAAACAATAGATGTTTTATATCTTTCTAACATAATTAATTATGAGAATTTTATCAATTAATTTAGAGTTAGATAATTTTTTATCTAGCAATTTTATTTTATTAGCAATACCCAACAATTTATTTGAGTATTTTCTAATTGTCTTTAACTTTTGTATCTCAATTTTTTTATCAAGTTTAAAATTTTCATATCTTGAATTTTTCCATTCCCTTCGTATTGTCCATTCAAATAATCTCAAATTTGTTTGACTAACTTTATAATTTCAGTGAAGATAATTTGTGAAACACCAATAAACAAGTATAATTTCGTTTTTGTCTTTCTCATTTATTGTTTCTTCTAAATTTTAATTTGAGTTATAGTAGGATTTTCAGTGGATCAATAGTGCAACAATGGAATCTTCTTCCACAATTTTTTTATAAATTTAGTCTTCCAATATATTATTACATGCTCATAATTCATAATCGTAGTTTTTATCATAAAATACCGAAATAACGACTTGTGAAAATTTTCATTTTTCTTTAATTGAATCAAAACTTTTATACTACTATTAAAACATTTTAGGGTTTTGATTTGAGTATATTTTAATTTTAGTAGTATATATTATAATTTTAACTATTTGGTTTGGTTGATTTTTTACTGTCAAAGTATAAATCGAACCGATTGGTTTTGGTACTTTTTAATCCAAAAAAAAAAAATCAATCTTGATCGATTTTCAATTTTTTGAATTGTTTTTCAGTTTTTTTTTATTATTATTATTTGTTCGGGTTAAACACCCATATTCAAGGACTCTTATTCTTTCTATTTTTGTCTTCTAGCTTACTGGTTAACAAAGTTTCTATTTTTGTCACAAAAATATGGGTCTATAGAAATAACAAGAGAATTATCTTACTAGGCAGACCCGTCAAGCATGATCTGAATGTATTCTAAATAATGAATAGGTGAACCAACTTATGTCAAGGTAACGAATATCTTCTTGATAGCAAGAAGATATGAATTCAAAAAATCCTGTTTCTTGTTTCCTTTTATGATTTTAATTTATAAACACAAACTTTTGTTCGTGTTTCAGAGTAAAGATGTAAAGATTTCCAAATCAGAGATGCATGATCGCAGCCACCATTCTTGAATGCAAATTTGGTGGCATAGATGCTAAAAGCTAGGTAAAGATCAATTCATCTTCCTGTTCTAAATTGAATATGCTTCTAAAACTTTATCTAACAATTTATCTTCTGAATTTGAGTACATTAGAGGCATACCACCATCTTTGTGATGATCTACAAATTTTGCAACTTAAAGGATTTAATGGTACCGATTGGTTGCATTTTCCTAGTTAGAAAATTGTCATCATCAAGCTTGATTGAAACTGGTAAAGAAGTTGAAAAATCAAAGGAGTAAAAGAAGAAGATGGTGTGGTCATGATTTAGTCTGATACCATAAGAGAGATGACGAAGATGAAAGAAAAAGGCAAAGAGGGAAATCGAATTATGTTATACACACTCTCAAAAAAAAAAAATTATATACACAAAGACTAAACTAACAAACTAATACTTAGTAAAAATAAAGATGCATAAATGTACACAAAGTAGCAAAACTAAGTGGATTTTCTTTAATATTATGATTGATTTAGGTTCATGTGTAACAAGTACAGTGAAGATGGTCGTTGGATTCCCTGGTGAATGGGTAATTTTGGGATAAAATTATGGTACTCTGGTCAAAGAATTGTGGTAAAGTGGAAGGCAATAGAAGTATAAATTCACTGATTTCCAGGATATGGGTGGCAGTGGCTTTCAAAATGATGGATAGAAGAGGCCTAGATACACGAGCATGCTCTCTCAATGAGCTGTGGGGTAGCGACGTATCATAGCAACAACTTTCAGCACACATCTTTAATGGTTAAATTTGTCGCCTTCCACATGACATTGAAAATTGCTTCTGCATGCCCTAGTTAATTGCAATTCATCAACCATCATCATCTAAACTCTTTTAATTTATAAGTGCTTTTACTAACACAATGTTGTAAGTTTCAAAAGAGTTTTTTTAATGTGGTGCATTTACATTTTCTTTTGGTATACACCACTTAGTCTCTTTCTTTCTCTTATGAACTTATCATGGACACGAAAATGTTTGACTGTAAAATTGTGAGTAGCATAAGTAATGCTTGTAACTCCCTTTTTCATAACATCAAAGATTATTCTACCAAAACATATATTTCTCTTCAGGAGAAAAGAAAGTGACCAGTTCAGATGTTTGTAAATGATTTATGTTTCAATTTAGTTTCAGTAAATTACTGATATACAAACGAACCAGGACTATCTCTAGCAAGATTCTCCAATACAGATATACAATCACTTTTTTTTTTTTCTATCGAATTACTATAGCAGTAACCATTCAATGGTTGTGATTTTTCAGTGGGTGGAGAAAAAAATATAGCAGCAGAGGATCCAATTCCATTATGCAATCGCATTGATCCGAATATTGTTGCTTTAGTTAAGAAGAACTACATGATTTATGTGATTAGTTTTTTTATGAACCACCGACATTTTAAAGTTATTTTGGAGGTTCAAAATCAAGTTAGGTAGATCAGTTAAGTGGTTAAGCTCTATGTATCTCCTTTTCCTTTTCCTTTTCCTTTTCAAGAAGACAGGTTCAATAACTATAAACTACTCTGGTATTCAATATAACTCCATTTTCAGAACTTGAACTTGAGTTTACTGGTTAAATTAAAACAGTCTGAATACAAGAAACTATGCTTTTTAAATCTGGCATATCTAAATTATAGTGAGAATAGAGGGATTTTTTTTTTTCAAATCGTAGTTAAAGACAACCATACATTTGTTAAACAAACATTATTTCAGGAAACAATGTTGTCAACATAAAGAAATGATAGTTGGTCATTAATCAAATTCGGGTAATAAACAGGAAGAGATAGATGAAAACTGACAACCGTATCAGGAACATGACGAAGTAGAACTACTTACAATGTATTCTTATGAATCAACGATTAAGACTCACAATTCAAACCATAATTTAAACCAATGCTTATATCAGAATCTCAATCTCTACTCAAACTCCATTACCAAAGTGGCAGTGTTTACAAATGACTAACTTCTATTTCCTACAAATGAACATGTCAATGGAAACCAATAAAGCATACAATTCTTCTCTAATATACATCTCTTGAACGAAAGAACAATTCTCAAAAGCAAGCATTAGACAGAACATTCAGAAACTGAACTTGGTCTCTCTCTAGATGAAGAAGAATGTAAAAACTCAATGCAATCTTCCACAGCTTTGGCACGATGTGAATCAGTGGGGTCTGACACTGAACGTGTTCTGACCAAAGAGGATGAAGAAACCTTCCTAGAGGATCTCCTTCTCTTGGAAACAACTCGTATAGCACTTGCCACTTTTGCTCCTAGTTGCTGCAATAATCTCACCGGTGAAAACTTAGGATCTTTTGGAAATCTGAAAGTCCAAGTTCCGGTGACCCTCTTCTTGTTTCCCAAGACTCTTCCACTACCACCACCACCAACACTGGTTTGCTTGAGAAACATGATTGGTTTCTCATTGAAATCGGGGGTAAAACACACCCTTTCAGTTGTTCTCAACATCTAAGCAATAATATACTAAAACAGAAAAATACTTCCTATTGCCAAAAGAAAAAAAAAATCAATATTTGTATCTATTTGTCATGTAAGACAGAAAAACAGAAGAGTGATAGAGAGGGAATAGCAGTAAAAGAGGACAAAATGAGACAGTAAGACACTAGATTGGCACGGGAGTGCATATATATAGAGATAAACCAATTTAAGGAAACAAGGGATAGTAGCTAGCTAGGTTCAAAGATAAAGCCTAGAGAGAGTGATGTTTCAGGAACATATAATTAAAGACATAGATTGGGATGTTTCAAACTCATAGCTTCAACTTGACCCTGAGAACAAGCAATCTTATACCAGAGGTTAAGTGCATCTGAAATCATTCATGTGTGATATACGTGCATGAGACATGCACACATGACACATGGGCCTATTACGGAATCAACACATTGCCACATTTATTGTGCGTGGTAGGGGTACAATGATTAAACTATCTGTAGATGTTGTTGTTTTTTGGCTAAGCATGAACTATACGATGTGAATTATGCAATGATTAGAGCTTGCTTAGTGTGGTGAGATAAGAGAAATATAAACTATTTAAAGCAAGAATGCAAATCATGAATTTTCTTTTCTAACTTTATCTTATGCAAAACCAACACATACCCTTAATAAATATACCAAAACATGTCAATCTTTTGAACACTATGAAGTTATGAAATAAAACTATGTATGATGTAAATGAGAAGAGGAGAAAAGTATCGAGTGTGTCCTTTTCTCTGAGATCAAGAAGAGAAAAGGGAGGTTTTGGTCAAAAGAAAAAGTAGTGGAGAAACGAAGAATGGAGGGGGAGACAAGAATGAAACAGTTAGAGGTTAAAAAAAGGTAGTAGTGGATATAAAGAAGAGGGAAGCGATGGATACTCTTCTAATCAGCGTTGCTTTTGAGGGTGCATATATGGCAGGGTCTACTTGCTTTTTACTGGCTCTTTGGTTCTGTTTCTGAAATCTGAAATCTAGATATAAGGGCCCCAACATTATGTGCAAGAAGAGAAAAAAAGGGTGAGGGAATCTATTAGTGTTTGACCGTGGAGAAAGCGTAAAAAATAGGGTATTGGTTATTCATCACTCTTTATTTTTATTTTTATTTTCGTGTTTTTCTCTGTGTTTGAGACTATTACACACACACCACATCACTGAATATAATAAAAAGAATTAGATAGAGTTGAGTTGAATTTGAGTATTTTTTTTATTAATCCAATTCAGTTTAATTTATCATTAATAAAGTTGGATAAAGTTATCAATTTGAGCCATATGATTCATAAATCGATTTTAATTTATTCCTGAACTTCTTTTCCTTGTAGTGGTTCAATCTAATGAGGAGATGAATAAACCTCTTCTTCAAAGTCCCTACATAAAATGAGTTAGAAAGCCGGTACGTAGTAAGTTTGTTAACAAAACATTTGTATATCATAATAAATATTTTTTATTTCATAAATACTTATGATAATGTTATATTTTAATTTAAGTTTTATTTTTAAATATATATTAAAATTTAATAAAAACAGCATTAACAATTTTATTTGCTATTTTAAAATTTTATTAAAAATAGTATAACTTTATTAATTTAATAGAGATAACTTATTTGATTAAATATGTGTTTATAGGATTTTAGAATAATTTAACTCAATAATCTTATCTAATTATGTTTAATCAAGTACATTTATTTCACAATTTTGACTCTATCTTATCAAATTTGACTTGATTTGATCCTCCTAATAAATTCTATTTTGTCTAATTTAAATTAAAACAACAACACTTAATCTATTTTATTTTGACCTAATTTAACTTATCATGATTATTATGTCATAAGTCAACTCTACTTGACCAAATACCAATTAAGGTAGATTTAACTTGATTTCCATTTGATCCAATTTAACTCACTTCACTTAATCTAATCTAACATGACTCACACAACCTAATTCAAATTTTTTTAATCTGATTTACCTTAATTTATTATAACATAATTTAAATCAACTTGATTTGGTTTAACTTATTCATCTTCGTATTATTCAATCTCACCTAAGGTAAATGTTTTTAAAATAAATATTTTCTTAACTCTCACTTTTAAAATATATTATTTATTTATAAATAATTACCCATAAACGGTCATCAACCATAATAAATTATGCAAACATTTTGATCTTATGAATTTTTTTCTTAAATAATTTTTTTTATTTTGTGATTTTTTTTCCTTGTTGACGTGAATTATGATTAAGTCTTTGCGAGATAAATTAAATCGAAAGATTTAGAATTGAATTAAATAAAGACTGAATTAAGTTGAGTTAATTAATTCAATAATTTTTTAAAAATATATTATTTTATTAAATTTGTATTTTTCTTAAAATTTTAGAATAATTATTTTGAAAAAAAAAGATAATATTAACATTTAAATAAATTATATAATTTAATATTTTTAAAAAATTAATTAATAAAAATATGTATTGGGTCCGAGTTTTATACACAGACTACCAATAAAAAATAAATTTAATTTGATCCCATGATTAAAACAATCAATTCAAGTTATTTACATTGAACATACTCGTTATTGTCTCACAATTTCAGCTTTATATTTTATGAAGAGTTAATTGCTATTTCAAAAAACAAATCTTGTCATTCTTGAAATGTTTAAAAAGTTTATTTTGATTATTCTTATGAATAATTTTTTAATTAAATATTATTGGAATGAATGTTTCAAAAGAAAAAAAGATATACAGTTTAATGCTTAAAGATAAAAATTAAAAAGGTTATAATGTAATAGATTTATAATTATAAGTTAAGTAAATTTGTTAATAATATTTAGAATAAAAACAAAAAAAATAATTATGTCAAATTATATAATTTAAAATAATTTAAACATTTTATTAATATGAAAAATATGACTCCATATTTAAGAATAGCAAATGCACGCTTTTCTATACAGTAACATTATTGTCATAAAGGTGAAAAGTATCCAAAGTCCTTTTTACCTCTTTGAAGTACTGTTTTTTTTTTTTCGTCAAGAACGAGGTTTTGATTTTGTGGCATTAATTAAATGTGGTCTTAATGAAGAGAAATTACAGATAAATTAAATTAGGTGAGAATGCAGGAAAGTTTGGGAATGGATATGGTAGCTTTCTGCAGAAAAATATTTTTTTAAGGGATTTTAGGAAATACATGTATGACTTTCACATTAATATTTTTTTAGGCAACTTGGATTCCATTAATCTCCAATTATAATGTTCTTGAAAATATTGGATCAAATTAGTTTACGCAAAAGAATAAAAATGGGTTTTATGTTATATGGATCAAGTATTGACGCTTGAACGTGTAGTACCTAATGCAGAAAACTTGAATTTGAAATAGTATCATTTCATCGTACCTCAACATCTATCACTTCTAATTAAATTTCAGAATTTTGGTATATTTTATTCACATATATCATAGGTTTTTTAAATTAATTTTGTATATGTGAAATATATTTTAAAAAGATGCATTATGCAACCAAAGTCAATCACAAAGAAAAAACTTCTATTTCTTAAAAAAATAAAGAAACCCAAAAAGAACCATAAGTCCAAACATTTTTGGCATCTTCAAATCTTGAAAACGGGTATCGATAGGTATACTTAGTAATAACAAAGCAATCCCTGGATAAGTTTGTTGATAAGAAAATGGGCTTCAAACGGATTCTACAACTTTCTTCTTACACCTCCATAATTTTTTCCTACACTTCTATATTTTATGTAAAATAATTAAAATATTCTTTCAATAATTTTTATTTCGAATCCTAAGACCTTCTTCCATTCCCCTTTGTATCTTATGCACCTCAACTATTATCTTCTACACCTGCATAAATCTATAAATTTGTTTTGTTATACTATCATCTCTATTTAAGATGATTTTCAAATAAATATTTACTAATATTATGTATTTATTACATATTTCATATACTAAAATTATATATTGAGATACACATTACTCCATTCGAAATAATTTTTTTAAAATCAAATTGAATTCTAACACACTCAATCTAAAATACATTTTTGAATTGATTTTTTTAGAAATATATTTCAAATTGAGTGTTCAAAGAGTGAGTTAGGAAATATGAAATAATATTTCCGACAAAAAAAATTCCATAAACAAGTTCCAAAAAATGAGTTTTAAAATATATTTCTGAAAATATTCTCCAAAAATATATTTTGGATCGATGGATTTATAATACATTTCTAAAATGTTCAATCTAAAATTGTTTTTCTAAACAATCCATATTGCATTTCTAGAAAATAATTCTAGACTAATATTATACTTAGTAAAAAATTGATATAAATTAAAAATAATTTGAAATTTGCATCTATTTCTTGTAATTCTTGAAATAATAGGAGAATGAAAAATAAAAATGTTTTCGAATTTAAAAATCAGAATTCAAAGGTTTAAAAATTAGAAATAAACCCTTACAAGGAATAAAATATAATTTAATTTAATTATGAAAAAAAAAAACTACGAAGGTGCGAAAAAAAAAATGCAAGATTATATCAATGACACAAAGACGGAACCTTGAAGGCCACAATGCTCTTCATTTCCTTTTTCATTTACATCAATCTTTATATTTTGATAGAAAAGATAACTTTCAATTTTTTCAGCTTAATATCTTTGAAAATCTTGTATAAACACACTACATTCAGAGCCATTTTCAAATTATATTAGGAAGAGTAAGAAATTTTATGTTCTAAAGAATATAAAAACAGTTAGAGTTACTTTCAAATATTTAAAACATATTACTTTGTTTCTCAGTAACTTGCTGATATCAACCAGTTATTTTGTAGCCAATCATACACAATTTCTAGTACTTTTGTGTACGAAAGCCGATTTTAATTAAAACTTTGAGAATTGAAGGGTTTTTGTTTCGTATTCCCCAAGGCAAAATATGACAATAAATATATCTACGTTTAATAATGCTGGGATATGTTTTCATTAGTTTACTTGTCCCTTTCTACAATCCTCTTTTTACTGTAACAATTATTTTATCCAAAAACACGTGCTTTATTACTAATTAAACTCTCTCATAATTTATATTTTTTTAATTACTTTCAATCAAGAATAAAGAACATATTAAAATAAAATAATAAAAAAAATAAGTGTTATGCTTTACTTATATGACGAATAAAGATGAAGCAATTAGGAATTATGATTTTAGATTAAATAAGTGTTTAATGTTCCTATGGCCCCACGTATTTTGTAATCATCCAATTCAAGATATATGGTAATCAAGTTGTGATCGAATATCCAATGGAATATGTTCCTAATCAGTTTTCCAATATCTATTTTTGTCAAACAATGAACATATATAATAGAATCTTTATTAGGCTAAGTTTTCCCCAATTATTTATCTAAACACAGAATAATATGATCATTATCAATTATCAGTATTCGTGTTCTTCCTAACTAGGAGACGATAATAAAACAAGAAAAAAATCAGTGAATATTTAAATGCATGAAGTAAAAGAGTGTGGCAAGTTGATGTTGATTTTTCACGTGCAACTTGTCCTCAAACCAGTTTTATCCTTTTGCCTAACCAGTTTGAAAGATCTGGAGTAATTCACTGTACATTACCTCAGCAACACGTGCCGTGAAAAAAATGTTGTTGGAAACTGAAGAATCAAATTTACCATTTCATTGATCAAGAAAGAGACATGTCCCCTTAAGAATAAATGAGAAAGAAACAAATACCAAAGGTTGCATATTTGAAATAATGCAACTTCTTGTGTAAGTTTTGTTAAAAAGTTCATGTAAGATTAAGAATACTTATCTCCTTTATATTCGTTACGTGACAATAACTCGATATTACAGGTTTATTTTCTATCAAAGTGTACCTAATCGGTTTCAAAATAATAAATATATTAATCCTCGAGATTCTTATATTTAACATTTAGGTAATATTTAAGATATTTGAATACCAACTTATTTTATATTAAAAATTCTTTAAAATATTTACTAATAAATAAAGATAATACTTTATTTTTATATAAACAAATTTAATATCATATTCATTACATTCATTCGCATTTTATTTTTTATTTTTATTTAACTATCGCAAGTCTTTTATAAATATTTTTCCCAATATATATATATATATATATATATATATATATATATATATATTATAGATCCATTAGAAAAAAAAAACGAAGACCATTTTCAAACTCAGATAATAATGAAAGATAATCAATTTACTATATCATTTATTTTACATTAATTAATAAATTGATATAATATACTTAAATAATTGATGTTAAAAATGGTTATTAAATGATAATCTTAAAATATATGGAATATTTAATTAAAGATTACATATTAACTTGATTTTATAAGAAAATTAGATTTACTCTTACTTTAAAATAATAATAACAATTATTTTAAAAATTTATTAAATCTATATCAATTATTCCGAAATCACTCACAAATATTTACTTTTATATTAAAATGTTAAATTTTAACGTGAAGAAATTAAATTAATTAACTTAATTCCGTTTTCTAAAACACGTTTAGATAGAAGCAAAATCTATAATTGTCATTAAATAATTAAACCAATTATTTAAAGGTTATTCAAATAGTAAATTTTTTTTTTACAATGAGATATTTCACATCTTGCTTGATTTTCCCTGTTAACAGAATGATAGAAAAGAAAAGTAAAAGTAGCAGACAAAAACGAACAAGTCATAGCCCCACATGTTAGAAAAAGTAATTAGCAGTATTAGAGAAAAAGGATTACACATGGGTGTGATTTATTTGTGTGTGGCTTAAAGTGGTCCTGGAAAGGTGAGTGAGACATGGTAGAATGGGGCCAGTGATGGTGCAGTAACCACTAACCCCCTTTGTTATGTCAGTGGCCCAACTCAAGGACAATCGGTAACCATAAGTGTAGGCGTTTTTACAGAACTCGGTTAAAACAACGCAAATGTGATAAAAATTATAGAAATAAGTCAAATTGTGGTTGACGAAGAAATCGTAAAATTAGATTAAAGTGTCTTGATACAAATGAAAACAAAAATCATATTATCACATGTGCTAAGTTTAGGATTCTACTCAACTAAGTTACTCTCAATTTATAAATGAGGAGAAAGTGAAAGGAATCACAAATTGATGAGATTGAAATTGAATTGATATTAAAAGGATTGAAATTAATGTTAGAGTTACTATTACTCACTCTTGGAGAGAATGAGAATGATTTGGAGGAGTACAAACCCTCCAAACTCATTCAATACAAACACGTCACCACCATATCCCCTTCCAAAAATTTCACTTCCCCTGCCTATCTTTGAATTAATATTTCAATTAAAAATTTAAATATATAAAATATTAATCTTAGTTATACACTAAACAATTAAATGTTTATAGAAAGAAACATCCATAACTACCATGATTCACAACATTAACCATGATATTATCATCACTCATTGTGATAAAAAAAAAATTCAAAAGACTTTTTATTGTTAGTCATCGCTCAGTAAAAAAATTCTCACACAAATAAGAAAACTGAAACCTTAAAGAATATATAAAATAATTTTACATCAAAAACATATTTTATGCTAATAAGATAATTTCATAGATGTGTTATTGTTAATTTTTTTTATTTTTTTTTATGGAAGTCACTAAGAGACTAAAAGAAATAAAATTTTCAATTAAAGTCATTTAGTGAGTAGTTACTTCACATAGGAGATGACATTCTTTAGAAGGGATTTAGAACAACAATTTGATTCTGATTTTGATGAGTAAAGTGTTTATGTCTACCCTATATGTTACTAAACATGAATGTTAGGTTTTTTCTAAGGAAAGTTTTACATCATGAAAATGTCTGAAGGAGAGGTAAAACATATATTACAGTTAAGACTCAATATGCAGAGAAGAAAGGTCTCTTAATACATCAAACTTAAATGTAGAGTTTCTGTTATTAAGGAACATTGATCAGTACAATGACCCATCCAATGCTCAAAGGTTGAAATCATTTCTTTATTGTCAAGTCTTTAGGAGTAAGATTGGAAAAATTATTCATAAGTATGATTTTTTTTTTTCCTTTAAAACTCTTCCTAATGAACAATTTTTCATTACCATTTCATTCGCAATGAATAAGAATAAGTGTTAAAAACAAACTCTATATTATACATTGGTTTGTATATTCTCTAACTTGTGTTCAATAAATTTTTTTTAAGAATTTCATTGAAAACCACACAAACCTAACTCTTAATTAAACAATCAAGTAAACGTGAGGCTACAAGTAGAAGTCGACCTAGAAAATTTCACCCTTCCTACCATTTGTAGCTCTACTCAATCAGCTCATGTGTATCAATGGATCTCCCATTATGTACAGAAATTAACATAAGAAGAATTCGAACCTATGCAAGTTGAAATTAAGATGTGTAAAAGTAAAAGTAAAAAAAAAAAAAAAAAAGGAAAAAAATATTGTAAAATGGCATAGCCAATATTTTGCAACATATCAAACAATGAACTTTTATTCTTATGACAAGTCATGTGTACCATGTTATCATTTAACAAAGGCAATCAATAATATACTAAAAACACATAATTTTTTTATTTTTTTTATAAAGCTTGTAACTTGTTGAAATTTGTTTGAGAGATTAAAGTGATAAACAGTAAAAAGTAAGAATCAATTCCCCGTTTAAAAGTGGTGGAACATAGATCTGTTCCAGGACAATGGGAAAGAGAGAGTGAAGTAAATAGTGAGGTTGCAGTAAAAATTCACTTCAAATGTTGTTAGACATGCACAAACCAGAAACAAATTCACCTTCCATTAATATGAAGTTGCTCAACTAACTCCACCATGCAAGGCTTGTCCATCAAGCAGAGTAAAGGGTTTTAGAAGAAATGGAATATGCTTCCACAGAGAAGACTGTTCATACCAAAATTATCCGTGTCAACAACAAGTATTCTCATCTAGACCTTATTTCTATCATGCTAAAAATATCCCAAAATAATAACTGGCTCAGGAGAGTGACCCAATAGCATATGCTCCCAGTTCCTTTTTGATTCCTCGAAGTCCTGCCATCAAAAGGAGAATATCCATTGATGAAGTCCCTTGCATGTGTCTTAGATTCCTCCCTTTGCTCACACACTTTCTCTCTCTTCCTACCTTGCACAACCTATAACGTACCATATAATTAATCCAAGGCTGTAACTTTATATTATTCCTCTCACGCATTTGCCATCATCATGAACAACTCTACAACGTTGTCTCTCTCTATAAATCCCTCTCTCTCTCCTCCTTTTCCTTCAGCTGCCGCGTTCACAACAACCCCATCTTCTTTTTCCACTTTCCCTCAGAACTCTCTTAGATTTACTTGTTTTCAATCCTTTGGGCCAAAACCCATTACTCCCTTTTGCAGAAAAGCACGATTGGGCTCTCTTCAGGGTTTAACGAGTGCGAGAAGCAGAAAAAGATTGGTGCTTGGAGCCACCAACATGACTATAGCGGAGGATAGTTTGTTGGAGGTGGTGGAGGAGGAAGAGGGTCCTCCTGATTTTTCTTTGCTTGATCCAGAGAACAGCTCTAGGCCTCGTAGAATCGCGCTCTTCGTTGAGCCTTCTCCTTTTGCGTGAGTTTGTTTCTAATCCAAGTCTGCAATGTGCATTCTTTGTAGTTTCCAATCCTCATTGAATGCAGAATTCTCAGAATAATGTAACCCCTTCTCTATATTAAGTGTTTTTTCTTGTTCAAAGTTGAAACATTGGAGTTGGGTTGGGACAGCATTGAATTTCAGTTTCTGCTGCAGCTGACTTGTCGAATTCTAATTCAGTGTTGACTTTGTGGTTTTTGATGAACTTCCTGTTGAAGTTTAAAAGATCAGATGGATTTGAGTTTGGATTTCATGGGTTTTTTTTTAAAGAAAAAGATAGAAGGCTTTTGTTTTGTACTAGCTTTTTATCATTTTTTGTTTTATGATTCAATTAAGCTAGCTCTGTGTGTATGTTTAGGAATAACCTTTCTATAAGCTTAATACTACTTCTTTAGTCTCACCATCGGAAAACGTGCTTCTCAGCAATTTTCTGCTGCTTTTCTCCGTGTTAGAAAACAACTAGAGAAAAAGAGAGAAGTTAGAGGAGGATAAATCTGACAGGTGATATAATAATGTAATAAAAAAAGTTATGAGTATAAAATTGGATGGAAATAACAGCTTATGAATGTTTGAGTGACCAGACATTATTAGTTTTAGGAAAAGTTGGTTGGAAACTAACCTCAAATGTTTTCTACTTTCTGTCCCCGTTACACTTCCAATGTGATTATTGCATTACACTTAGTACTATTGATTTGTGATAAGATGAATGTGTGGTTCCCCTGTGTAAGGAAAGCCTGTTCTTCAATTGAAAGAGAATGTCCATCCCATCTATTTCTATTTCGCAGGTATGTCTCAGGATACAAAAATCGGTTCCAGAATTTTATAAAATACCTTCGTGAAATGGGAGATGAGGTAACATTTTTCTTCCCTGTTGTTTCTTTATACACTGCACACTCATGTCCTGGTTTTATTTTAACATTGAAACCAAGTGTTTAGCTTTGTTTCTGCATGTTGTAGGTAATGGTTGTGACAACACATGAAGGAGTACCCAAGGAATTTTATGGAGCCAAATTAATTGGATCCCGGAGGTTGCTGACTTTGACTTCTTTAGTTTTGTTAGCATATTTTTGCTTTTAATCCATAAGGAACTTAAAATTTATGTTTCTTCATCACATTCAGTCAATGCTTAAATTTATAAATTACCATTGTAGTTTATTTCATATGAAATTCTTGTAATTTTTCATAAAAACTACTTTTTCTAGCTTCTAAGAAAAGAACTAACTGTTTTTGGGTGATTGGTTTTTTCTTTTTTCAAACAACTTAATTTTCATAAAAAAATCCAATTATTTTATTAGTTACAAAGAACAGTAAAATGAGCAAGTAAGTGCACAAGGCATCATTTTTAAATTTCACTTCCATATTCCAATTTAGATTTTAGAGTTTTCCTCTTTAAATGCTAATATGTTCTTTAAAGTTATGGTTGCTACCACAGTCATTGCTTCGTACTAATAATCTTCATTTAAACAAAAAAAAAATGTAAAATGCAGCTTCCCCTGTCCGTGGTATCAAAAGGTCCCCCTTTCTTTGGCACTGAGTCCAAGAATAATTTCTGCAGTTGCTCAGTTTAAGCCAGACATAATACATGCATCATCGCCAGGCATAATGGTTAGTCTAATATTCCTCAACATCCTCATTCATTAACAACAGCATTGTTAGAACAATATAGTTCTAAAGACTCATTTATATCAATATCTGAGGCTGGTTGAATTTTCAGGTGTTTGGTGCCCTCATCATCGCAAAGCTGCTAAGTGTTCCTATTGTCATGTCCTATCACACCCACGTACCAGTGTAAGTTATATATTTTAGGTTAGTTTGGATAAGCTTCTCATGTCTTAGTGAGAACTTAATACTTATAGGAGAAAAAATTAAGTAAATCAAACTTCTATTCATTAAAACCAACTTGTCCATTTCAAGTTTGGATACTTTTTTTTTTTTTACATCAAGTTTGGAGTAGTTAGATGACAAATTTCTACAAAAATTGAAATGTTTTTATGGATAAATTTTATTCATTTTATCTCTTTATTCTCTTCTCTTATAAGTACTAGTTGAGAAGTTTATCTAAACCGAACATTATTTACATTTCATATCTTCTAAATGTATTCACATTTGCAAAGCTATGATGTCTATACTAAAGATTGAATCCACTAGTTATTCTTATTGATCTTAATTGTTGTTCAGATACATTCCAAGGTACACCTTTAGCTGGCTGGTGCAACCCATGTGGTGGGTCATAAGTATGTATAAACACTCTCGCTTCCTTTTTCCAACTTGAAATCATATGTTTTGTGAAATAACATGAATTTGCTGTTATACACAGAATTTCTGCATACAGCAGCTGATCTTACTCTGGTGCCATCAGCTGCCATTGGAAGGGATCTTGAAGCAGCTAGAGCAACAGCAGGTGAACTCAAACACCCCTTTTCAAATGATTTCTTAGCGTTTTGCTCATAGACAACAGCAGCTGAACATAAGCATTTTTGTAAAAATCCTTGTCAGCGCAGCAGTTATTTTTGTCATATAACCCCAGTTCTTCTGTTTATGTCCAGCTAACAAGATCCGTCTTTGGAACAAGGGTGTCGATTCTGAAAGTTTCCATCCACGATTCAAGTCCCATGAAATGAGACTAAGACTGAGGTGCAGACCATTTATCATTTTCATGTGCCTGAAGTTTGATATATAATGGGGTTTGAACTTATTCTTAATCTTGTTTCATACAGCAATGGTGAACCTGAGAAGCCCTTGATAGTTCATGTTGGACGGCTTGGAGTTGAGAAGAGTTTAGATTTTCTCAAAAGGTAGAGAACATACTGAAAATTTCAAACCGTGAACGAATGATTTTGCTGTCCATCAAGTGTAACATCGTTTTAGTTATTCATGTACTGAAGCTTAAAGATGGTTAATACTTTTTCAAGATATGTTTTATAGATGTTCGTTTTGAAAAGCCCCTACTTATCTTTCTGTTGCTTATTCTGTTCTTTAATGTCCATGCCAGGGCATATAATAAATATATCTAGCATGTAACTTTAATATCTGTATCCTTCTTTTTACATTTGAAACATGTTTTGGCAGTCTCATGGATAGGCTTCCTGAAGCACGAATTGCCTTTATCGGAGATGGACCCTACAGGTGACTTATTGTAATGTGTCTTTGCTTTCTTTTATCTACATCAAGTAATGTACTACGACCATTTTGAATAAAGTTTTTAATATGCACTAATAGAAAATGAAAATAAGAGGCAAAATAAATCAACCTTTTTTCATTACTTAATATTAACTTATACACGTCAAGGAAAAGTTAGACACATAGACGAGAGCGTTTCTAGAAAACCTGAGTTATAATTTTAACACATGATAGATATTTAGCTTCTTCTATCTTATTTTCGTCTGCAATAAGTTCTTCTGTGGAGGTCTATCCAAATTGGATAGACTTATGACTCTTGGTGAATTGCCTTCTTTGAGTGGATGTTTGTGTACTCTTACTCTTTTATTGCTTCATATGACACTAACATTGTGAAAAGGGTTTTCTCTTGCAAGTAAGTTTTGCTATTTTTTGTATCTTGCCCTCATCTTTCATCCTGGATTATACCATAGTTTCATTCAAATGATCAAACATTATGATCTCCTATCTTTGGCATCTTTTCTTAACATGAATTCCAAACTGACAGGGAGGACCTAGAGAAACTGTTTGAAGGCATGCCAGCAGTGTTCACTGGGATGCTGGGAGGGGAAGAACTGTCTCAAGCATATGCAAGTGGAGATGTATTTGTTATGCCTTCTGAGTCAGAGACACTTGGCCTTGTTGTTTTGGAGGCCATGTCATCAGGGATCCCTGTGGTGGGAGCACGTGCTGGTGGCATCCCAGACATAATCCCTGAAGACCAAGATGGAAAAATTGGTTTCCTCTATACTCCGGGTGATCTTGAAGACTGTTTAAGCAAACTGAAGCCTCTTTTGGATGACAAAGAGTTGAGACAAAAAATGGGAATAACTGCACGTTTGGAGATGGAGAAGTATGATTGGAGAGCAGCCACTAGAAAAATTCGCAATGAAAATTACAATGCTGCCATTTGGTTCTGGCGCAAGAAAAGGGCTCAACTGTTGAGACCCTTTCAATGGTTGGCTCAACGAATTTTCCCGTCATCTCCTGATGAAGAAGTCACCTTGTAAGAGGATTGTTGCAATGAAAATGCTTCTTTCAAGATTTGGATGGTTCCTTGAATGAATGATTGAATTTCTTTGGCTTTAAGGAAGCCTTGTATGGGACAGACGTGTGGTTGGTTGTGTAATGCATTCATTTGATTGATGTATATATAATGGGATCAAAATTATGGATTGTGCCGTTGTAGAGTGGGTTAGAGTTGAATGTCATTCATAATGAGGTAATGGATGGATAGTGTAAGATATATATTATGCAACCAATAAATGGAGAATCCATTCATGTTTTACAACACAAATATGCAACAGCATTCTAGAAAACTAGGACTAAATACAAAAAGAAAAATGGCCCTTGTTAGGAAGATTCGAGATACATGTGAAAATATTGAAGGACATGCAAGTATGTGTCCAAATGTAGCTTTCATTACTTTGAACTCTTCTGGGTTTTCATTGTTCCCCAAACTATATGTATTCTTATGTATGTGATTCAATGCATGCCAAATTTCAATAGACTGAAATCATTTTCTGTTACTTTTCGGCCTTAAAATAACAGCTTTCAGTGCCACTTCATTGCCTTTTTTCTAAACAGTTTCCCATATTCTTTTGGTTCAGAGTTCATTGCTTTTCTTTTATTGCCATTAATTAATAGTAACTAATTTATTGATAATACAAAATTCAAATATTTGAAACTTTTTAGCTTCAAAAAATTAATTTAACAGAAGAAATGTTTATTGTGGATTGGCAAATATTCCAGTGTACCTAATTGGATGATATAATTTGATATAAAAACTCAATGAAAAAACATATATCACAAAATGAGAAAGGTATATATACACATAAAGATTATTCTACTCTTAAAAACAAAGACATCATACAAATCTCTCCTAATTAAAAACAAAAGTTATCAGTGACATATTTAACTCTCATACAAGTTTCTGCAACTACAGGACCAGTTTAGCCTTGGGCATGCATTAATTTGTATTTGTTTTAGGGGAAGAGGTTGCTTACAAAGTTAAAACAAGAGAAGGATGCTAAAATGTCTACACACATTCGTATCCACTTTTTTCTTTTGCAATCTTCTGGGATGAAGAAGATGGGAGACATCCATTTGGCATTGAGGTTTTCTTGGTCATTTAAATCTCCACCTAAGATGTATCAATCCTACTTGTTACCCTTGCTTCCTAGACACCATGTTTTCCAATTGTCTCCTTCACAATTTGGTATTTTAAGGAATCAACCTGCCCTTATTATATCACTACAGTTTAGCAGGGCAGAACCACCATCAGGGAAACACACACGCACAAAGACACTTTAAAAAGTCATACAAGATATAACACTTTATAATTTGAGCCTCCATTTCATCTTGCATTATCATCATCCATAGAGAAACATTTGAACCATTCACAACCTCTTGAAAGGTTGATTATGTAAGAGGAAAATATGCATCATGAGGAGTTCTCATGCCTCCATTTTTCAATCGTGTATTCTATCGAAGTTCATAACTCATCTGGGGCTCCAGTTTCGCTTCGGAAGAATCTTTCCCTCTATATTTTTCATCTATTTGTATTGTAGTTATTTCTTTAGTAGTGGTATCACTTCCTTGATCACTTTTCAATTCATTGTACGAAAATATTATATTTTTGCTAATAATAATTTTGTGGATAGTGCAACTCACAAGTAATACGATTTGCACTATCAATATATTAATTTTCTAGATTTTGGATTCATTTTATTCCTTTTTGGGAGTTGTAGAAGAATAATGAAAACATGATTCTTCTGTATTATAATTAAAAAAAAAAATCCAAAGAAATGTGGTGAAAAAATTAAAACAAGTTTTTATTTTGTGTAAGTTTATTATGTACAACTAATTCTTGTTTCTATTTTGAGTTGAAATATCACATCCAATACAAAATGAAATTAAACATATTTTCTTTTTTGTAATGAATAATTGAAAGGTGAAAAGAAAACTAAACTAACCGAGAGAGTTATGCTTATCGATAGAGGGGTGCTATTAACAAAGCCCGAGTTTATTTATTCAAATAAAAAACATGGGCCGGCCTCTTTATGTTTCTTTATGAAGCCTGAAATTCTGTAAGTGGGCTTCTCCTGCTCTGAGAGAGAAAAGGAAGTAAATAAAATAAACATTTTGAAGTATCTAAAGTATAAATGGAATTATATAACCTAATAAAAATAATTAATGCAATTAAGAAGATTATAAATGTATAATTAAATGCACCAATAATATTTTTATTTGGTTGTTTAATATCATTTTTTTTACTAGAGATAACCCCAGATTTTGAGCGTATACCCTCCTATATACTACGAAAAGCAAATCAAAATTTGAGAACAAATAAATCTTGTCACGTAATAAAATATATCAAAATTCTATAATGAGTATTTCATTAATAATTTTTAAACCTAACTAATAGGTTTACATAATGATTAGGTAAGATATATCGGAACCATTTATTTAATGTAAAATTTAATTTTAACTTTATATAGTATAGAAACTTATCAACATAATAGTATCACAAATTAATATCTAAAAAAAATTAATCATTGGTAAATATGATGTAACCTTAATAAATTTTTTTATATTATTAAAACTTTTCATAGTTTATAAAATATTCTTTGATAAATTTTTATGAAAATTTAGAAAATTCACAAGAAAATTGTTGAGAATATTATTTTAAAAAGAATTTATTACGTTTTGAACGAGATTATCCGGCATTGGTATCTAACATATCGTAAGATTAATTTTGACGTCTATTTTAAAATTTTCATCTCTTACGATTTTGTCTTTAAAATATCTTAATTAATAAAAAATATATATATAAATTTAATTTTACCTCTACTTTTAAAAGATGTATGGGAATATTGTTAAAGAATTTAGAGGATATTTTTAATAATCCTGCTTAAAATATCACCCAAGATTATTACAAAGTCACAAAAACGAGGTTATATTTGACATTACAAAGAACAAGAGTACAGTGGTGTAGGTGTTGTACAAGTGGGGGAGGGTCTCATGTTTTGGTATGACCTAGTGGTAGTAGGTTTCTGTGACAAGTTGAGGGAGGCATGGTGTATTTTCATTTGGTGAAGATGTAGACATGGTCGTTAATCTGCTCATTGCTCTCTCTGCATAGTATCTAACTCTGAAATATGTTCCTCAGGCCCTGACATCTTTCTTTCCAGAGTCTTCATTATTATGTCTGCACACTTGCACCAAGTGGTTGTCCAACTCTTGCTCGATCCTTGGTTGAGCAAAGTTGGCAGAAAAAGACAACAAACCCAAGTGGTTCATGACGAATATCGTTGATGATATAGATCATATATAGAGGATCATATCTTCACTCTCCAATGTCATTGGTGATGAATGGTAGAGACGACAGGGTCATCTTTTCTTTGTAAGCCATTCAATTTTGGTCTCAAAAGGGACCTCATTTCCACCTCAAAGTCTCTGCTGTGCTTCACATGCAAATATAGTTTTCTTTTCTGCTTCTTATCAGCATCCACATTGCTGTCTTGGAAGCGACAACTCTGATATATATGCATTCTGGTTGGACTGCAATATAGACTATCCGCATGAGGGGTACTATCAGATTGCACAACTCTTTGCGCTTAGGGTCCCACCAGTTTTTTACTTTTTTTTCTTTTCTGCACTCTAAATCTTTGTCTAGTAGCTACATGATTCACAGTATTCATCACATTCTATATCATTAACTAGTTTTTTCTTTCTGCTCTACTCACTCTCTATCTGTCTTGGTTAAGTACTGTTACAAGTTTAGGGTTTATAACTGTTCCAACTTCAGGTTAGAGTTGAAACTCACATCACATTCTGTATAACTCTCGAAAATAGAATTAATTTAATTGAGAAAAAATCCACATGCGGAGTTTTTTTTGGAGTACAAGGGTTATCATTTTCAAAACATTTCTAATATTTATAATTTTTATATTCAACTTTTTTGTTTCTTTTTTTGAAGAACTAATCTCTCTAAACTTTCGTTTTTGAAGAGCTATGTATATTTTGTTTCTATATAAATATGGATAACATGGATATTTAACCTAATTTGATTGAATCACACATTTTGTTTCTTCTAAAATTAACAATATTTATTGTCTATGAACGGTAATGTTGTCAATTTTAATTGTTTGACTGATGTATTGTGTAGTGGATATTTTATTTCCACAATATTTTAAAATTTAGAACATGAACTTATATTGTTATAAATTATATATGTTATTTAGAATAATATTACATATTTTATCGTAAACAATATGATTTTAATTTAGAGTATGAATTGATCACATTAGTTTATTTATATAGTTTTTAATTTAAAATATATACATTGGTCAATATAAAATATATCCACCAATTTGATTACGGACTCATTAACTCAATATAAAATGGATGACCATGTCATTTTTACACCACGTTATCTAATTAGAGGAATACGAATTATCTACGAGAGATTATAAAAAGAAACTAAATATTTATTAAAAAAGAATAAAACTTTATATTTATAATAAATATTATATAAAATTATATAAAATAATATATATAGAGATAATATATATATTAGATTAAAAAAATTGACAAAATATTTTGGTTCCAAATAGTAAAATAACGTAATATTTTTAATATAAAAATAGTTTCAATCGATTCAAAAAAATTTATAAATAAAATATTCAACTAAATAATTTTTATAAACATTTATATTTTTAGAATAAAACTCTTTATATTATATCTAAACTTGGAATACAAAAAATTTGTTAGATTTTAGATTCTAGGAGGAGAAAGCTAAAGTCACAATGAGAGATTTCGCTTGAAAAAAAAAATTTGAAACGTGTAAGTAATTTTTATTTTATTTTATAGTTTTGATTATTTCTAAGTATAAGGAGAAAATTTAAATAGTAAGATATATTCTGATTTTTTTAGGATGTTGCGTAGGTTTTGAAAATAAGAATATGTTTGTGCACTACATATATAGTTTAAGAAAATTCAGATAAGTAAAGTTGGTTATTTATAATAACATGTCTAGATAAGAAATATATGTTTTTATGGATATACACTACAAAAAAAGCCTATTATCTACAAAATATTACCTACGGATAAAAATTCGTAGGTAAATTTTACATTACCTATGGATAAAAATCCGTAGGTAAATTGTACATTACCTACGGATATTACCTACAGAATTCTATCCGTGGGTAATTATCCATTACCTACGAATATTATCCGTAGGTAAATTATATTAAACTAAAAGAATTGTCACTAGCAAGAATCGAACTCATTACCTTAAAGTTAAAACCGATACTCCAACCACTAAGCTATTAGGATATTCTAAAAATGATTTACAAATAAATTATAGTTATATTTATTCGTGTAAATATATAAATATATAAATATATAAATACATAAATACATAAATACATAAATACATAAATATAAATATAAATATAAATATATAAATATATAAATATATAAATATATAAATATATAAATATATAAATATATAAATATATAAATATATAAATATATAAATATATAAATATATAAATATATAAATATATAAATATATAAATATATAAATATATAAATATATAAATATATAAATATATAAATATATCAAAATATAAATATATCAAAATATAAATATATCAAAATATAAATATATTTATATTTATATATATTTTATATTTATATATTTACACGTATAAATATAAATATAATTTATTTGTAAGTTATTATCAAAATATCCTAATAGCTTAGTGGTTGGAGTATAACTTCCAACTCGAGGTACCTGGGTTCGAATACTGCTAATGACAATTTCCTTAATCTAATAATAATTCATAGTTCCAAAAATATAATAAATAATAAAAATATAATATAGAGGGGAGGGGGTGTAGTGAATAAAAATATTTTGTTTAGGTGAGTGCATTACCTACGGATTTTTGTCATTACCTACGGATTTTACCAGTAGATAATAAACGTTTTTTTTGTAGTGATAATGAAAGCAGAAAAACATGTTTATGTATTTTGGTGTTGTATAATGTTCCTATTATATGTTTGTGGTATAAATGAGTATATTATTGGGTATTGGGACGAGAAAAGACCGAATATTGAAAAAATCCTTACATCTCAACTCTATTTTTACTCAAGCGAGACTTATGTCATTTGAATGAAAACAAGATAGTAAAAGAGGTGTTCTACAACAGTAGTAGTTTGCTTAAGTGATAGACAAGTCAACTTAATTTTTGCTAAAACAAGTTATTTTCTCTTAAGCAAGAGTCAAGTTTGCTTAAATTTTGCTCAAATAAGGATATTTTCACTCAAGCGAGAAAAGAGAGAATTGATGTATTTAAATTTTGTTTAAGCAAATTATTTTTACTAAATAATATTAAACTTTTTCGCTTCAAGAAAATTTCTTGGGGTGTTTTCTATCTTAACTTCTAAAAATAATATAAATATTTCCGAACTCTAAATTTTAAATTTCATATAATCAAATTGAGGTCTTAAAATTAATGAATCTAATGGAATAAAAATTAGTCAAAAGAGATAGCTACAAATAAAGTATGATCATAAGAGTAGACAAAATCAAATAAAAAATACATAATTATAGTATTTAGTTACAACAAACCCAATTTTTTATAAATGTGAGATGAAATTATTAATAGCTTGTCCTAAGAGTACAAGAGATGTGCATTAGGATGGGTAATATTGTTAGTAGTCCTACTTTATGGGTAGGGAAAACCAGAAAGTTGTTGATAATCAGAGAGTGTACGGTGTAGTATCAGTTTCAATATAACCTACAGATGTTAGTCTCTGAGTTTAAAGTATTGTATCTGAGAAGAAAAGTCTCACATCAGGGAAATCTTAGTTTGGTACTTCCTTTTCTTACTATAAAAGAAGCACTATATTTATCTTATAAGATGCACCAAAATCAATTCATTTTCTTTCTTTTGCTGCTTTAGTACTTGAGAGATAAATTAAGAGAGAAAAATAGTTTCTCCTTTTAGGCTCTCTTAGAGTTGTTTTTCCTTTATTTTTAGGAGAGGATGTTATTGTTTCCTCCTTGGAGGTAGAGAGAGAAATGTTGTAATTTCTTTCATTAGTGGAATTACTCTTTTGTCCATTGTCAGTGTTTTTCTTATCTTTTTATTTTAGTTGTGTGTGTTTATGCTTTTGTCTGATACCTAACAGTGGTATCAGAGCCACTAAGTTGTGATATTGGTCTTCTGTTGCATAGTCATTAGAATAATGTTGGAGAAATTCTTAGTATGCTCTGTGGTTGTGATTAATCTGATATTTCACATTAGAAAAGAATTATTCTTGTTACTTGATATTATTTGGTAGTGTGATAGTGCATGTCTAGAAAAAGTTTTGGCAAGGAAAGACTTGGTATTTAAGCGTGTCCATTAGTGACTCACCTCCTGGAAACTTACCTGGTGTACTAGGTCACGATCTACCGTTGTTTTTCCAGTAGATAATACTATTCATAGTATTGCATAAGTCACAAAATATGACATAAAGAAGTTCAATGGGAGTAATTTATCATTGTGAAAATTGAAGATAAAAGCAATTTTGAGGAAGGACAATTGTATTGATGCAATTGCGGAAAGAACCATGGAACACACGGATGAACGACGGTGGAAAAAAATGAACGACTTGCGAATTTGCACTTATCAATGACAGATTCGGTTTTATCCAGTGTTGCAGAGAAGACTACTGCGAATGAGATTTAAGATACCCTCACTAAACTATATGAGGTGAAGTCAATTCACACAAGAATATTCTTGAAGAGAAAACTCTATACTCTTCAGATGAGTGAGTCCACATCAGTGACGAACCACATCAACCATTTGAATACCTTATTTGCCCAACTATCAGTGGCAGATTTCAACATAGTTGAAAATGAGCGTGCAGAGCTTCTACTTCAGAGTTTACCTGATTCGTATGATCAACTCATCATCAATATTACAAATAATAATATAGATGGGAATATGCACTATGAGGATGTTTTCGGAGCTATTCTTGAAGAAGAATCCAAGCGGATGAGTAAGGGTGCAAATTCCAAACAAGTAGAGGCTTTGACAATGATGAGAGGAAAATCAACGGAACATGGCTTGAGTAATGATAGATCGAGGTCTCGAAGTAAGAAGAGTTCTAAAATTAAATGCTACTTTTGTGGCAAGAAAGGGCATACGAGAAAAGAGTGTTGGAAGAGAAAGAATGGAGGAAACAACTCTGAAGAATCAACCTCACAAGATTGTGTTATAAGTACCTCGGAAGATGGAGATATTCTGGTGAGTGAAGCAGTAATTAGCTCTAATGGTGAAAAGGGGTTTCATGACAAGTGGATAATGGATTCAGGTGCAACATCGCACATGACTCCACACCGAGATTGGTTTCACACTTATGAACTATTCTCAAGTGGATCTACCTTCATGGGAAACAACCATGCATTGGAAATTACTGGAGTTTGTACTGTTGAAATTAAAATGTATGATGGTATTGTTCGCACAATTCAAGGGGTACTTGTTGAATTATTGGCAAGCGTACCAAATTATCAATCGCAGTATAGTATTTCGATTAAATAAAAGTCGATCCCACGAGGAACAATTT